GTTGGGGTAGTGTTAGGGGTGGGGGTAGTGATAGGGGTTGGGGTAGTAATAGGGGTTGGAGTAGTTATAGGGGTTGGGGTAGTGATAGGGGTTGGGGTAGTGTTAGGGGTTACTCCCAGCCGTGATCGCCGTTGGACGAAGGCCTCCACCAAACCGCTGCCATGCATCAACAATCTTCCCACGCATTCAAATGCCAGCGACCCAGTTCGCCCGCTGGCTCAGGGCTCCGAGCGCTCAGCTGGCATGGCACCGATTGCTGGGTTTGAAACGGGATTTCAGCCGCCCGTGATTGACACCAGGTTCACAATGGCAGGGAATTTACGGTCTCAGCCTGGTCACCAATTGACTGTGCGAAGAAAACCCCTCAAAGAAAAAAACCCCATACACTTGAAGTGGTATACGTTTCAGCTCTCGGAATTTCAATTATCGGTTGTGACTGTCCCGTAACGAATATTCCTACCCTCGTGGTCGAGTGGATTGCGCTGTGAGGCCTCCCTACCCTGTGGATCAGGGGTCACGTGAAGGGATCTCACAGGTGGCTCTGTGAGATCCACTTCAGCGGGCCGTTCTCCAGCAAGAAGGGTCGCGCTGCTCCGAGAGAGTTCCAAATGGATTCTTCATCTCACGACGCGACGCTCATATATGTTGAATCGGGCTAACGCTGGGGGGATAATTCCAACAAATGATCACCACGGTACTTTAGGAAAGAGTATGATGAAGAGACCAGTACGACCACCCTGCAATGTGTCAGATTCACATCAGACGTCGGATGTTTGTCCGTGTCCACATAAAGACATGTTAGTGGTTCTATTACACGGACAGACATCCATGCAGTGCAAAGACAAAGATCCCCCGTATAGACTGTAGGAGGCAAGTGCTGTTCGCGAGCACCTAGGAAGGCCGGCACGGCACACGATGGCGTGGGTGACCAGCACCACGCCCGAGTGGCGATGTTTACGGACCACACCGGGGGTACTCATTTGAGGCTGAGTCGACCTTAGGGGGTGGCACAGGTACCGGTTGAGATAATCGTCACCGGCACACGCACGCAGCCCGACAGACAGACAGACAGACGTGGAGCGCGGTGACATTTGCGCGTCCATTGAAACGCTCGGCGGCCAACAAAAAAAATATAAAAAAAATAAAAGCCGCGTCACATTCCGCTAAAGCCGCATCAACCCGCGGGGATAATCGTAAGAGAATTGTCCACGATTCTCCGCTGCAGTTCGCGGGTTCCGGGGTCATTCCTCGGCCTCCTTCCAAGACGTCGGGCCGCTCGGCGCCACGGCGGCCGCCGCCCTAGGGCTCTAAACGGGCGGCTTCAAAAAATGCGTCGGGGCGTGGCAGTCCAAGCGACGCGGCCCACTTGAGGGGGCCCTTTCCGTTTGCCACTCGGGGTCAGAGAAGACGCGGGCCTGACGATCGTTGCCGCTTAGAATTTGGCGGCTGAGCGTTTTTGCCATCGTCTATATATTTTTGTTTATTTTAAATAGCTTCTCTTTTTCGATTTAAAGCTTTCGTGACTGCAAGGATTCATCTTCTTTGGTTCTTTCGGCAAAGTCACGTAGAATGAGAATAAAAGAATAAATTCATAAAATAAAATGACACAAGAAAATTCTCACGATGTTTCGGCCACAACGCAAGTGGCCTTCTTCAGGTGAAAGGAACAGACCTGTCGGGACGGCTGGATGTCGGGACGACAGGTCTGTTCCTTTCACCTGAAGAAGGCCACTTGTGTTGTGGCCGAAACGTCGTGAGAATTGTATTGTGTTTTTTATTTTATTAATTTATCATTTTATTCTCATTCTACGTGACTTTACCGAAAGAACCAAAAAAAGATAACTTCTTTTTGTGGGAGCAAAAAAAAAAACCTTGATTCAATGTTTTTTTTGTTCGTTTGTCACGGTGTTTGATTTATTTATTTTAATGCTTTAATGCGGAGTGGGGTGGGTAGAGGTTGGGGGGGGGGAAGGTTCGCGTTTAAATTTTAATGAGGACCATCGGGGTTGTTCTGACCGAAGTTAACGATCAATTGCTATGTCTGAAAGCCCAAAGTAGACTTGTTTATTCGCAAGTCTATGTTTGATGGTTATTCAGTGTTCACGATTTCACATGATTCACCGGCTGCATGGCACACACAAGCTACCACCATTTATCGTTGCGAACCTTCATCGCATATTGTCAGCTATGACGTGTGGTCAACCAAGCCTCGGGGTGGAGAGGCGTTCGGTCGTGGATTGAGAAAGAGCAGTAAATTATGTTATTATTGCATTTGAAAACATTGCTTCGACTTTACATATGTAATGTCTACGTCGCATCATACATTGAATGGAACGAGGTCCAGACAACGAGATGGAGCGATCAGATCGGTTCGACGCGCAGGATCGGGAAAAATGTTAATGAGGCCTTCATCCAGCAGTGGATCGACCATAGCTTATGATGATAATGATGATGGGGATCATTCACTCCTTGGGCCACGGTGCTTTGCATAAGGAACTATGCAAGGCACGAGAAACCGGAGTTATTCCGTCGACCGTTGTGTCCCGACTGCAAAGCCTCTCGGCTGAATTTAAATCTGAATTGTAAACAACAGCCCCGTCAAGGTCCAGCCAGCATTCGACGTGGGAGAATGTCGCGTTCAATGTCTCCACCATTGCACAGCTTGCTTGCACCACCACCACCACCATCATCACCGACAATCTTAACGGTGGTAACGTGAAACTGTGGAGGATCACGGTTCCACAACGGTGGAGCAAACACTCTCCCTTTGGTTTGTTGGTCTCAGGTTACAAAAACAAAGACCACCCGTATAGCCTTGGCATGCTTTTGGGCAAGTGGTGTTAGCGAACACCTATGAAGGCCGGCACGGCACACGAGTGGGGGGGGGGGGGGCAGCACCACGCCGGGCCGCCTTTGTCTCCATACTGGCGATCATTACACAAACGCACCAGGTCCTCATTTGAGGCTGAGTCGACCTCGGGGAGGCCCAGAACCGGTTCCAATAATCGTCACCGGTGTTGGTGGCCGTGGGCGGTAATCAAACTCGAGTCGCCGAGGTTCAGGCGCGCAACGCGCCGACCGCTACACCGCCGCTCTTCCTCGGTTGTCCTGGTGTCTAGTAATGAAACCAAGGCAGGTGATGTCACTGAACGAGTTGAATGCGATGGCTGTGGCTTCAACGGTGGCTGTGGCCGTCTGGTGCAAGGCTGCCTTGCACCAGACGGCAACTTGACATGCGGCTTACACAGCACCCTCCTCCATGGAGAGACGCTTCCGGACCTGCGATCCAGAGGTCGCGCCGGCTCGATTGGATCTAAGGGCGCGGCAGTCGAAACGACGCTGCGGGTTTCTTAAATTCCACGCCCCACCACCACGGCGTTCCACCCAGCACCACCGCAGCAAGTCGATCGGCAGGACAGGCACGGAGGGGTAAAGTGTGGGTACATCTTGATTTAAAGCTCTCGTGACTGCAGGGATTCATATTCTTGGTTCATTCGGTAAAGTCACCACCACGTCGAAGGGAAACAATAAAAAAAATAAAAATACAAAACAATACAATTCTCAACGACGTTTTCGACTGCAACACAAGCAATCATCATCAGGTGTGAAAACCACAGCAAGAAATTTTGAAAAAAGTGGCGGTGACTTTACCGAAAGAACCAAGAATATGTGGGTACATCCACCAACGTATTTGAACACACGTGGCCGGCGTGGAAGAGTAGATAGCACCCCCCCCCCCCCCCGCCACCCCTCTCGCGGAGGCCCTTCCGCCGGCAGTGGCGTAAGAAAGCCGTTGCAGGGCTGAGCCTTTACCTTTTACACGAGCCCACCTTAGTCCTCACCCACTCTGGGTCGTCTCCGCTAGTTCCGAAACGGGCATTGGTGGAATTGGTGAATTTCTTTGTCCGGAGTCGTCCGCACGCGGCAATTGAAACTTATAGAACGTCAACAATAGCGGCTGTCATCCCACCAAAACCAAATGGAGGAATGTTAGCCAACATTTATCATCATAGCTCATCCGAGGAATCGGATGAGCTATGATGATAGCTCATCCGAGGAATCGGATGAGCTATGAAGCTCTTTTTTGCACAGATGTCCAGGATACGTTTGGTCCCTGGAGTGCAATCGGATGATGTGCAGTAAATTGCGTAAATATTTTCGTGGGGGTAAGAAAAATCAGCATGAGAGAAAAACAATCTTCCAGAGAGGAATTGTCCACTGAAAGTGTGAATGTGTGATGATTATGGTTAAAAAGTACGACATTGACTTATAATGACAATGATGATGACGAAGTCGTGGTGCTGGTGGTCGATGGATGGCATTGGTGATGAACAGGTGAATGATTACAGGCAGTTACAATGATGAAGATTGATACCGATGACTCTAATTACTATCAAAACAAATAACACCCGGCGACTAAAAATCCGATTCATAATTGATGATCATATGACCCAAACATCGATAATGAATCGCTTGCGTATTATTCCCGCCATCAATCAATTGAACACCTGTGCCCACGTCAACTTGCAATGTGACACCCCCGCCACCAAGCGAGGGAGAATAGAACTCCCTCACCTGGTTCGCAGGAGGTACAATGGGTTCGATCCCGACTCCGATGCCTGTATATTTGGAGTTTGCGTGTCTCTCTCTCTCTCTCCCTGTGGTTTGCGTGGATTTCTCTCCGGGTCCTCCGGTTTTTCCCTCCACATTTAGAATCAACGTCGCGCGTTCGGAGTATTTGACCGCTCTACATTCCCATGCGATAAGCCGCTCCGTTTGTGCTGCTGTCAATTGTGGCCCAGGTCGCTTCTGGAAAAAGAGCGACATGGCTCGTTGGGCCTTTAACCTGGTAAAACCAAAACGAGTTTCGTAAGTTAACAACCATGAAACACCGCGACCCGAACAAAGTTCGAGGCGTCTCGAGGTCTCGAGGTCCCGGCGCAAATCGCGTCGAACCAAAGGCGCCTCCAACCTGCACATCGCACAACCTCTCCCCGCAGGTACGAGGACTGCATCAGACCCAGCACGCTCATCCTGCCCATCCCCTCCGATGCGCCGCCGCCTTACTCGCTCACCGACCCCTGCTGGGACAGCGGCCTCAACGTCGGTCTCTACCCCGGCTCGGCGGGAGGACCCCGCGGCTCCGGCCACGACCTCGCCTCGACCCCGCCGGCCTCGGAACAATCGGCGGCGGTGGCTCCGGCCGCGGCCGCCGCGGCCCAGCTCCCGATCCGCGTGTTCGCCGCCGACGCCGGCCCCTTCGGCGGCGAGGCCCTGCCCGTGTTCGTGTCGCGCTTGGGCGAGCGGCTGTGGCCCCTGCGCGTGGTGGACGAGCGCGGAGTCGTCCGCATGAGCGTCTCGTTCGTCGCCGCGCTGCCTCCGCCTGCCCCTGCTCCTCCTGCTCCTACTCCGGTCGCCGCCGCCGCCGCCGCAGCCGCCGCCCCTGCGGCGTCCGCTCAACTTCCTCTTCTGCAGCTACCGCCCGCGTCGCCCACGGTGTCCTCGGCGACGCCGTCGCTCGCGTCGGTGGAGCGGCGCCACGAGGAGGCCACGGTGGCCGGCACGAGTCCGAGCCAACAGCGCGGCACTCTGTGCGACCACGACGGTGGTGGTGGTGGTGGCGGTGGTGCTGGACAACAAGAACAGGCGCAGTCGACGTCCGATAGCCGCGCGGAACCGTCGCCGTCCCGCTCGCTGGCGCTGGACCAGCTGGTGCCGCCCGCGTACGTGGACGCGCCGACCTACGCCAGCATGCCGCGGGGCACCTTCTGCATCCTCAAGGACACGGAGAACGAGTACGAGACCATCCCGCAGGTCATCAGCTGAGCCGACCTCTGTGCCCTCGTCCTCCCCCTCCTCCCCCTCCTCCTCCTATGCCCACGAGACGCCTTTCTTCTCATCCGTTTCTTGGAAACGCGCAGCATCGAGAGTTTGCGTCCCGGAAGCAAAGTGGAGCCGAATTGAGCGTCTCACGGTTTGCATTGTAACTCAATTGATCGATGAATGGCAGGCGGCTGCGACTGCGGCTGCTGCTGCTGCTGCAGCTGCAGCTGCTTGCCCTGAGTGTAGCGACGTCGCCTATTGCGGGAATGCGTTTTCAATTAACATCGCGCAATGGATCAGAAGATGCGCGAGCTCCACGCTCGATGACTTTCAAGGTGACGCAAGGCCGCGGCTCCACTCTGCTTATTGACCAGGCCGGAGAGACAGGACGGCTTCGTGGAAAGGCGTGCTGCGATGTGCTCAATCGAACCAGTGGCGGAGATCTTACAGGACACGTGACTTTGCGCGCGTGCGCGTGTGTGTGAAACCAACAATTGTTATCGCGGCGCGGTTTTTGCCAGTCTTTTGTGGGCTTTAGCGAAGATTTTCGTTCGCTCACGCCAAGACCCAAGATGGGAAGCCAACGCCATCGTGTTCATTGCCGCTGTCTATTTTCTGGACACGCTCTGGGCAGTGAATCCATTTCCGTTGGCAAAATGTCCCCCGGTAATGTCAGAGCTTCGCTGAAGTCGCTCGTGGCTTTACGTTGGCGGGGTAGGTGGGCGAGGAATAAATTGTTGGCCGATGAACGCGAACCGAGTCTGCCCAAGCGCGGCAGAATGGACCCTGCGGAGTTCCGTTGCTTTATTTGTTGTTGCAGAGAACGTTGAGAGCACACGGAGGGCAGGAGCCCCACTGAACGTCCGGTCGCGAGAAAACTTTCGCGCGCGCAAGCGCGTACGCCCGTGTCACGCGCATCATACGGCCCTGTGCTGGATCGTCAACGCGGACACCCCTTGTCCACCCGCCGCGGTTTTGAGTTGTAATTGAAGCCTGTCAACTTTTTTTTAACGGCCCCGTAGCAACCAATTACCATTTTTCGTTTGCTTCCGAGCAAGCGAGATGCTATACGGATCCTGCTCACTGTGCAAATTCTTATCGGTTTATTTTTTTTTGAGACAATATCGTATCGCTTTTTTTTCTTTCAATTTACAGTTCAATGCAGTTGCTCGTTAACGGGAACTGTTTAGCGTTTCAGCGATGTGCCGTACTCCGTGCGTGTCTTCTATCTTGTTTGTCATCGTCGTCATCGTTATATTTTAGCCATCGATATTGGTACCCTTACACTCACTCACGTCGTCGGGGCTTAATTTTTTTCAAGGAATATTTTCCAAGGTCACTCACAGCCACCCCCACTCCCAGCCAGGCCCACTTTCCACAAACCCGTCCGTGAAACGCAGCGGTCTCGCGGTAGCCTTCGGCTATACAGGTAGCGCGACCACCAAACGCACACATCGTGTACGGCTGAAATACGACGATTGGTAGCGAAAAAGCGACGAGTTATGCGGCTGACGTCTGGGGGCACGTTGGTGGGTTGCGGTGGGGAGGGGACGGGAGAGTGCTTTCAGGAGCTCAGCCTCGGACAGCTCCGGCTGTGGTGGCGAGATGTTAACTGCCTCGCTCGGTATACAGGAGGTCGTGGGTTCGACCCCGACCCTGACGCCTGCTGTATATTTGGAGTTTGCGGTGTCTCTCTCCCCGTGGTCGCGTGGATTTTTCTCCAAGTCCTCCGGTTTATTCCCTCCACATGTCGAATCAACATCACGCGTTTTAGAGTATTCGGCTGCTATAAATTTCCGCACTAGATGATACGCTATTATTTGTGGCCATGGTCGCTTCTGAAAAAAAGCTACATAGCTCAGTGGGTCCTACCTTGAAAAAAATATATATATAGTTTCGTGAAATCAAGCCCCGAGTAAAATTCGAACGTGTTGAAAGATCAGAGGCTTGCCGAAAGAGAAGCGCTGCCGTCGATGTTTAGAGTCTTCTGCGGTCTTCTGGGACGAGTCTTAGTCGGAAGGTGTGAGTCTATCTCAGGTTTTACCTCCAGCCTTTACCCAAGTCAACGCTTTGCCGGCAGATTAACCCCGGGGCTTGGGTTTCAACCATGTCACCCGCTTCCTGTCCGCATCAGTCTATCAACAACATTCAGAGAGAGAGCACACACGAATCGCAAAGCTTTCTCGCTGCGCAACCCAATGCCGTGGATTCTTAGAAACGTGCATTGGCTCAGCAAACGGAAGATAGATTTTAAATAATATAAAAATGTCGTCGTTTTTTCGCTGGAACGGCGTATCGAGTGCAAGGCTGAAACTTCACCGCTGGGCGAAACGAAACCCAGTTTGCTTAGATTTTTGTTGTAACTTATATGTACGGAGGGCGGCGTGCATGTGCGTACATCTGGGGTACAGCGGAGTTCATTCAGAACTTTAACTTCTCCACGACGGTGATCTCATCTCCTCACTCATGTCCGTTTGGCGACGACGATGAGCCAGTCGGGGCTAAAATAAATGAGAGATTCCACATTCCTATGGTCGAGACCAGCCTATCACCAGCCCACCCCACTGTATAGCGGAGAGGTCCGTATTTGTGTCGCGTCACGTTGAATAGCAACGGCGGGTTATGCACGAATGAGCAACGTTTCGAGAGGCATGGCAATAGCAGGCGTTTGGCAAATTCACAAGTAGACACTAGCGTCCCTTGAACCTTTGAGCAGTCGTTGTTGTTGTTGCACCACACGCACAGTCACCACCCCCCCCCCCCCCCCCCCCCCTTGTCGATCCCCTGCTGGGCATGAGGGCCTCACCCACGCCTTGTGGGTTCTCGGTTGACCATTGACCCGTGAGCGGTGGAGACGGGGGCTGTAGCAGCCGCCTCGGCCCAAGAGAGTTGAAGAGAAAAAAAATGGGATTAGCAAAAAACAATATCGGTAGCAGCAGCGAAACGAATCCCATCAAGCGGACGAGCAGCGACTCTTGCCCAGAGTGCCCCTCTGGCCGATGCTTTCCACTCAAGGGCCGGGCATCTCATCCCACCGACGCGCAGGGAAGCAACGCTGCTGCTGCTGCTGCTATCTTGATTTGAAGCTTTCGTGACTGCAGGAATCCATACTCTTTGGTTCTTTCGGTAAAGTCACGTGGGTATGGAATAAAATCAATCACGTCCGTTTCGGGCGCAACAACACAAGCGTCCGTCATCAGGTGGGAAAGTTGCTTAGCTGCTGTCCGCGTTCGCCATGGACAGCCGAAGGGTAAAGTAGACGATATATTTACTCATACTTCGCCACGGTGGTCGATGGGGATTAGTGAAGGCGGGGAGCAAAATGCACGGCAGGCGCCCAAGCGAACGTGAGCCAGGACCAACGCCTGCTGAGCCTCCCGTGATGTGACGAGAGCGAGGGCATCGCACGTGGCTTGGCGAGACGGCGCCGTTTGTTCTCGTGGCACGGGGGGTGTGTGTGGAACCTCGTGAAATAAATCAATCCTATCCCATAATGATAGGGGTTTTCCCCTTTTTTTCTGGCAACAACACCGAAACCTTTTTTTTAACGAGGATTCATGTCTGCATTAACCACAATACCTGCAGTCAAAATGCAAACAAAAAAAAACATACTATGATAATATATGATGCATTGTCCTTGAAACTGATTGGTCCACACCAAGGGACGGCTTTCTTTTGAGCCTCGACCCAATTGGTGCTCGACCAGATGACGCCAAAAGGCGTCACACAGCTCAAAGACAATGCCACTATTAAAGTAATGAGGGCTCGGGGTGAGCATCTACATCATTAGACCTCCTTTGCCAGTACCAAAATGTAATAATAGGGTTTTTCCCCTTTTTTCTGGCAACACTTATTTAACATTTAAAATTCCACGTGTGTGTGTGTGTAAAGTTATACAGGTAATGTTTACGTGCATATACAGTGAGGGAAAAAAGTATTTGATCCCCTGCTGATTGTGTACGTTTGCCCACTGACAAAGAAATGATCAGTCTATAATTTTAATGGTAGGTTTATTTGAACAGTGATAGTCAGAATAACAACATAAAATCCAGAAAAACGCATGTCAAAATGTTATAAATTGATTTGCATTTTAATGAGGGAAATAAGTATTTGACCCCTCTGCAAAACATGACTTAGTACTTGGTGGCAATACTCTTGTTGGCAATCACAGAGGTCAGACGTTTCTTGTAGTTGGCCACCAGGTTTGCACACATCTCAGGAGGGATTTTGTCCCACTCCTCTTTGCAGATCTTCTCCAAGTAATTAAGGTTTCGAGGCTGACGTTTGGCAACTCGAACCTTCAGCTCCCTTCACAGATTTTCTATGGGATTAAGGTCTGGAGACTGGCTAGGCCACTCCAGGACCTTAATGTGCTTCTTCTTGAGCCACTCCTCTGTTGCCTTGGCCGTGTGTTTTGGGTCATTGTCATGCTGGAATACCCATCCACGACCCATTTTCAATGCCCTGGCTGAGGGAAGGAGGTTCTCATCCAAGATTTGACGGTACATGGCCCCGTCCATCGTCCCTTTTATGCGGTGAAGTTGTCCTGTCCCCTTAGCAGAAAAACACCCCCAAAGCATAATGTTTCCACGTCCATGTTTGACGGTGGGGATGGTGTTCTTGGGGTCATAGGCAGCATTCCTCCTCCTCCAAATACGGCAAATTGAGTTGATGCCAAAGAGCTCAATTTTGGTCTCATCTGACCACAACACTGTCACCCAGTTGTCCTCTGAATCATTCAGATGTGCATTGGCAAACTTCAGACGGGCATGTATATGTGCTTTCTTGAGCAGGAGAACCTTGCGGGCGCTGCAGGATTTCAGTCCTTCACGGCATAGTGTGTTACCAATTGTTTTCTTGGTGACTATGGTCCCAGCTGCCTTGAGATCATTGACAAGATCATCCCGTGTAGTTCTGGGATGATTCCTCACCGTTCTCATGATCATTGCAAATCCACGAGGTGAGATCTTGCATGGTGTCCCAGGCCGAGGGAGATTGACAGTTCTTTTGTGTTTCTTCCATTTGCGAATAATCGCACCAACTCTTGTCACCTTCTCACCAAGCTGCTTGGCAATGGTCTTGTAGCCCATTCCAGCCTTGTGTAGGTCTACAATCTTGTCCCTGACATCCTTGGAGAGCTCTTTGGTCTTGGCCATGGTGGATAGTTTGGAATCTGATTGATTGAATGGACAGGTGTCTTTTATACAGGTAACAAGCTGAGATTAGGAGCACTCCCTTTAAGAGTGTGCTCCTAATCTCAGCTCGTTACCTGTATGAAAGACACATGGGAGCCAGAAATCTTTCTGATTGAGAGGGAGTAAAATACTTATTTCCCTCATTAAAATGCAAATCAATTTATAACATTTTTGACATGCGTTTTTCTGGATTTCTTTGTTGTTATTCTGTCTCTCACTGTTCAAATAAACCTACCATTAAAATTATAGACTGATAATTTCTTTGTCAGTGGGCAAACGTACAAAATCAGCAGGGGATCAAATACGTTTTTTTCCCTCACTGTATATCTGTACAATCGATACGGCTCTCGCCAGCGTCAATGGAAGGAGAACTTTGCACCTTCAAAGAGGCAACCTCTGAGTTGGTGCCACGGTGGCGAGATGTTAACTCCATCGCCTGGTATGCAGGAGGTCGTGGGTACGATCCCGACCCAAACGCCTGCATATTTGGAGTTTGCAGTGTCTCCCCGTGGTGGCGTGGATTTTCTCCGGGGTCCTCTGGTTTTTCCCCTCCACATTAAGGATCAACATCGCGCGTTTAGATAATTTGGCTGCTATAAATGCCCACACGATGACGAGCCGCTTCCGTGAGCTATCATTTGTGGCCAGGTCACTTCTGAAAAAGAGCTACATCGCTCAGTAGGTACAATAATAATAGTTGATTTAACTGTCACGTAATTAAAGCGGCCGCATCCCACATTATTTTCGCATCTCTGATTAGCACGGTTGGCTACGTAAGGTGCGAAACAAGTTCAACATACACATGGGCATTATTATTATCACAAAGCAGAGGTTCAGTGCTGACAACATTCAGATTCTAAATGCGTGGGGTGATCAGCGCTTCGACCCTGTGACGGCGTCATTTGCTGTTGAGTCAGCCTTTCCTGGGTGAAGGGGCTCGGAGAAGGTCCTGATTGGCCAGGACCGTGTATAAATTGAGGCTGGCGAAACAGGAAGCGGTTTCGGTCCGAGAAGAGTTCTCCACGAGAAGAGGTGAAAGCACCAACTCAGTCGTGCCCAACCTTGCTGGGATGACGCCCGGATCACCTCCCCCGCCCCTACCACCTCCAGTACACTAATGCACAACGATCCCGTGCCCACGCCTATAGCCAACACTGTGTTAGCAAGGCATTTGCTAGTACGTCGTTTGCTCGTAAGTCGTTTGTTATTAAGGCGTCGTGCGTTGCCGCATTGTAGACGCTGACTTTCCCCCTCCGCACCCATTCAGAATTCCCACTGCACCGCAGCGGGAGAGGGTTGCTAACCATTGCTTTATACCTGGATCTCAATACCGATCTGCATTAGGAAGCTCTCCGTCCCTTGGTGAGGCTGGTAGTAAGTTCCTTACTGCTTAAACACGGCAACAATGTCATCGCGCCTCTTGCGTGTGTGTGTGTGTGCACGTACATACACACACACACTCACGTATATACACACACGTACACAGAGACAAATATTCCCCGTGTAGCCTTAATAGACTGTTG